TCAAGTGAATAAATCTGTACTTGGAAAATGAGTTGCTTTAGCGATTATCGACCATTCATAACGTCAACTAAGATGTAATATTTTCACAAAAAGTTTAGGATTTCTAACCTTTCATTTTATTTCATATAAGATTATGGACTTCATTCTTTGTATTTATTTAGTACTCCCAGTCAGATACAGAGTACTCCATTTCAGTTTCAAGTAGTCTCGACACAGTGTTTCAGTAAGTTAACTCTTGTCAGTCTAGTATAATGGTTTAGAAGTTCGTTTTAAGTGATTTTGCCATAACAGTGATATTTAATAAATATGGTAACTATTTTATGACTTATAAAGTCCATGCTAGTTTCTTTAACCAATGATGATTGGTATTATGAAAATAATGATTATCTTTGTAGTTGTAAATGAAGTGTATATTCTAATGAATTTAGATCTAGTTGTAATGCATATACAATCTTGTTGTATCAAATGCAAAATAACTCACACTAGTTTATATGTAATAAATTTAAAGATGGCAAAATAATAATAACAAATGAAGATGGAGATTCTATTTTAATTCGAAGTTGAAATACGAAGAATATCAAATATTTGTATAAGAATTTCGAAGGAATAACAAATTGATGAAACACCAATTTAGTTCTGTTTTCAGTGAATTCATTTTTAAAGCTGTACAATCACAACTACATAATTATTTTTTAAAATGATAATAATGACAATAAGTAATAATAAAATTTTGCTAAACATGGTAACAGTGAAGTAAAATAAATAAAGATATAAAAACGTTATTTTTATGAAGTGAACCATGTGTAGCAGAATTCTATCATCACTTATCCTAATTAGTCTCATTCTGAAAAAAGTATATATCTGCCATTGTACAGTTTTGAAAATGAATTCGCCGAAAAGAGAACACTTCACTGAAATAATATTTCTTATTTTCTTTCAGTGAATGTATTTCGTTTACCAACTTAGTTAACCGTTTAAATGAAGGTTATGATGAAGACTTCTAGTGATTGGAACTTTTGATGAAATTCTACTGTCCATGTTCAATACAATTTCATATTACTATATTCTTTTTGATCTAATATTAATTTGAGTGAAAATTTGTGTAGCAATAAAACTTTAAACTAATGCTTACGACCCACTTAAGTCTTAGCTGGAGAGAAGGATATCTCATGAAGGTACCAAAGAAAGGAAACATGACTTGGTTGTGAAAACCTCGACATCTGAGGGGAAGCACGGGATACAATGGACAGCTTGCATGCAACTAAACGATTTGGACTCCTCAGATCACTTAGCCAACCTATATCATACACACGAGCAAGTGCAGGTCAAGACAACCACCGTAGCAGAAGCCTCTGCATCAGTAGATTCCAATATACACAAGGGAAAAAACAACATACTTAAATACACTACAGAGATCCCTTTATTCTTCAACTCCTATAGCAGCTCGCCTATGGTGGAAACTCTGTTCTATCTAAACGATCTCGGATCACCAACTGGTCGAAAGTTGAATGCTATCACCGAAAACAATCACTAAAAGTCTTTCTGAAACTAAGTATACTATTCAGGATGGCTTCCTTCAACGTTCACACACTAATGCAGATCTGAAAACAAATAGGGTTGGTTATGTCTTTAGAAAGTCTTAATATTGATGTTTCTTGTCTATCTGAGACTAGGCTCTAGTGAAATAGTACAAATCCACTCTCCATCAGTCTCTTCGAAAAGCTTGTTTCACGTGTGTTCATCCAAGTATCCTGTGGCATCTTCATCTGGTATTGTTGGCGTTGGTGTCGCACTAAGTGCCAGAGCTGAGGCAGCAGTAACCGATCGGACCTCGCTTAGTAGTGGAATATGTGCTCTTAGGTTCGAAAGCTTCATCAAAGTTAGAAACGATGTCTCCGACTACGCTCCGATAGATTGCAGCCCCGATGCAACCAAGGATGAGTTTCACCACCAGTCAACAGAAACTGCATTCGATATATATTGTAGTGACAGCCGGAGACTTGAATGCACTGGTTGAGCGTTTAGGTGACGATGGGGACTTGCTGGTCGCAGATAGATAATGGTGACCATCTGCTGCAGATTTGCACAGAATAAAACGTGTTTCCCTGGCTAGCAAGAACTATCAGTACAGTCTTCGCCGATGAGCTACCCGGAGGCCCTCTCTGCATCTCAAGCATGAACTGAGATTGACCATGTCACGACCACTAACCTCTAGCGTGGTTGTGTACAAAACTTCGGCTCTTTTCAGAGTACTTTTATGGACTCTGATCAGGCCCTCGTCTGCTCTAATCTTATCTTACGTTTCAGTGGTCAACAAATTAATCGTCCTAAACAGATTGATGTCCACAAATTAGTTGCAGCTTCTGTTACAACTAAAGATCAAGCCGAGATAGGTTCAAGGTTATCCATCAACCCACTGGAAAGTGTAGATGAGCATTCGCTACGACTGCATCACGCCCTGGTTAGGGTCCTGGAGATGGTGCAACACAGTGGCGATCGTGCTGTAACTTTCTTCCTAACTGAACTGTTCCTGCAATTATTATTTCACTCACATACAATAATTTATGTTAATTGTTGTTCTTTTTATTATACTGACCTTCTTTTCTCTCTCTCTACAACACCTCATTTTTATTGTGTGCCACATATACATTCTAGTGACCCCTTGTACCAATGTTTATGTGTTCAAATAAATAAATATTCTAAAGTAATTTAGGTAAGAGAATGATGTGAATGAATAAATTTACTACAACTATTTACTTGTATATTATAAGGTATGAAGAAAACCGTAGGGATGTGGCAACTAAATTTAACCCAATTCGTCAGCTTTTGTCAGGGAATTAATCTGAATTATGATCCTCATACAATAGATATGGTTCATAACCCAATAGGAATCAAAATGTTTATTTTTTATCAATATGAACCTGTTCAACTGCTTTACAAAAAAATTTACTACAGAATATTGCAAAAAAGTGATCAGCTTGTAATAAGCAATACAATGACTTTTCTTACACAAATAATGGATTGATCTATAGCTTTACGAATGTTCTTTTGAAGTGTATAGTAATCAATTACAGTTAATAATGATATACAATTTCAAGTTTAAGTACCTAATGGCAATTTCATAAAATAAATTATAAACATCGATATTCTCAATCATATGATATAAGTACCAGATTTTATTCACTATGATTATTGATTGATGCATCATACGTAATCCTGTGATTTTTTGTATAAACTCAGCCTAAAGCAATTCCGTTATATTTTTCTGCAGTATTTTTACTAAGTAACTTACTATTAATAGACATAAGATATCAATAATACTTCTGATAAAAATAACAAACCATACACAGACAGCTATGCTCTCAATTAGTATACATTCAAACAAAATTTGTTTAGTTCTTACCACATTTCCAATTTTATGTATGCAGGTAACTATTAACGACTAGTATGACCCTGGTCATGGTTCTCGAGCAAAAAATATTTGTTAGAGTAAGATTAAACTAAAACGCAACACTAAATCACAACCCACAAAACGACTAATATTTATATTAAAAGCAGAACTAGCATCATAAAATAATTGGGGAACTACACAGTTTAAAATTGTTTTGCATCCTATACTTCTTCAATAATATCGACTATTACCCTAAATAAGCTTGGACTGGATTATCAAATAATTTAGGAGTAATTTCATTTTAATTATTGAGGATTTTATGAATAATAATTTCCGTACCCCCAACACAATATTTGTGAAACAATTAGTGAGAACTTGACGAAAGTTCATCCTAAATACTACCATGAATAATAATGTTATTTTCTTGAGATGTGTATATAGAAATATTCACTAAAAATCGTGCATATTAACTAGACAGTGCAATCTGAAAAGTAGGCGCTAACCAAAGTAAATTCAAACACTTCAAATTTCAGAATCAATATAACAACCGTTTCTTTTACGTGGATCGTAATTAATTTTCAGGAGGTAAACTGGACCTTAACTCTTAATTAAAAAGGATCTGTGAATCAGCTCAAACTGGTAGAATGGTCAATAGCACGGTATTGCACTATTAACGTTGCACTGGATATGATAGTTTCATTCTTGCTCAAAGAAACTTTATTTAAAGTAACATGAATCCTGAAATAAAACTGCCCCCTATTCTTTTTCAGAATGATAAGGCATAATTTCTAGGAAACGTGATCAGTGAAGTTTATGCTATGATAGATCTTATTCGTGCATTTTTTTGAGTCAGCTTTCCAATATCCCAGGACCTGGAAGCATATCTTGGCAAACTTCATGTAAATAGGACACCAAAGTTGACAAAATTAGATCGGTACATTCGTACAGAAACAGCTGACAGTAAAAATAAGCCCAGAAACTTAACAAGGTTTCACAAGGATTTTAAGACTGATATAGATTAGACATAACAGCATGAGAATTCCAGTCCGATCCTCATAATATTCACGCATCGCCAAAATGATAGAAGCTTTACCGGTAGCTGATATGATCTAAACCATTGGTTAACTACCCGATAGTAATTTTACGTTTATTAAGGAAAATAAAGTAACACTTAACGGAAATCAGTCAGAGTGAAAATGTTTCCCATAAGAATATTCTTATTGGAAATCAAATATAAGTAATTAATTACCAAGGTATGTGTACAAATTAATATTACTATAAAATAAGAGCAATGTTATACTGAAACTGGTTGGCTTTTTTAGTACGGACAAACACGGAAATAAAAGTGAAGTCTGAGTTACTTTAGATATAGACATGTGCAAAAAACCTCAATCTTTCCACCTCTATAATGAAAAAAATATTGCGAGCTTGAGATATTGTTGATATTTAGTTGGAAACCTGAGGTACAAATAAAATTAGGCAACAGCTTGTCTCATGGATACAAAGAATAGAATCATGAATATTACTGTTTTTCTGTACAGTGTAAAATAAACTCAAGCTATTTTATAACTAGAAAGCCCATGTGATGTTAAAGATTGGCAAAAAATATTCAACTGCGAAGGGCAGCCAAACGTGCATCCACTTCTGTTTCACCATCATCCTGAACTGATAAAACGGAGAGTTCAGTTTGTGCTTTAGAAACTGAGAATGGATCGTATGCGGGCTCCGGAGCTTTACCTAACTGACCAGCCGTCAGATCCCATAAAACTTTATCAATTTCAGCAGACACCAAATCATCTGTATTTTCGACAGAACCGATTGGTTCGAAAGTGTCACTGATCATTTCTTCCATGATACCAGCTTTCATCATTTCTTTACTTAAATTTTGCATTGTGGATTGAAGTTCAGGTAACTATAAAATGAAAAAAAGATTTATAGATTCTCTGATTACGTCTCTATTAATACTCTAATGGACGAAAATATTTTATACTATAAGTGGGTAAAGATACAAAAATATGTGGACAAGGATAATTTTCCAAATCATTAAGAATCAACTATCACAGAAACTCAGTCACGTCAGTTACAACGCGAAACTTGGTACATATATACATTGGTCGCCATACACCGTTAACAGAGGAATGAAACTTTTAGGCCAAATCCCAGAATAGTAGAGTTAGTAACTGAATCAGTGATGACTAAAATGATTAGGCGTTGAAGATACGATTTAAGAAAGTATGAATTAGTGGAATAAAACAGAAAAAACGTTATGAAGAATTTGGAATATCAGAATTTGGTGGAAGACAAAGAACGAATACACCTGAGCCATATCATTCAAAGTCTCACCCATCATTGTTCACGATCATTGCGCAGGCTTCTTGTCAGCTTGTGTTTAAGCTGAATTCGCTCTTCGTTATGTTCAGAGCCAGGAGGAATGAGTTTTTGAGCATCTATCAGTGAGGTAGATGCTGCTGAGATCCAATGTTTCTCTCTAACCTTGTGGTTTACCGTACTAGCAGATATCACTGCTGTTTCCACGTCTTTTCGTATGTCATTTTACGCTGCCTCGGGGTGGGTATCACTCACATGGCTGCCTAACTGTTTTTCTAGTTGTTCCTGAAATATACTCTTAGCTTGACTTTCATTAAGTAGGGCCTAAGAGGTTTCCTTGCAGCGTCTTTCCTACGTCCAGTAAGATGCAGACAAATACGTACTCGCACTAGAGCATGATCTGAGTCTAAGCATGTGCTCCAGAATGAGCGACAGTCTTCTATCGAGCCCCTCCACCGGTGACTGATAGCGATGTGATCTATTTGGGTCCAACGTTGGGACGAATTCGGGGGTCGCCATGTTAAAAGATGTTTTTCTTAATGTTTGAAGTTAGTATTTGCAAGAAACAGGCGGTTATCTGAGCATAGCTGCATCAGACGGTCGCCATTATCTGTTCTTTGAGCCACGACACCATAAGATCCACCTAGGTGTCTTTCTCTTTCGCTTAGTTTACCTACTTGAGCATTCAAGTCACCAGCCACTATTACTACACCCGAGCGCCTAGCTTTTCGGAGAAGGTCGGAAAGCTTTCTGTAAAACTCATCTTTTACATCATCTGAGCTGCAGTCAGTGGGAGAATAGGCAGAGACGACGAAGAGGCGACGACGAGTGTCCCTATCTTTCCGAATTCTTGCTGTTCCGTTTAGTCGGACAGCGCACAAACGACTATCTACTGGGATTCACTCTAAGAGAGCTAGTTCTGCCCTAGGACTCAATGTTATACCTACGCCGGCTAGGCCACGGGAAGCAGAATCAAGGCTTCCAGATACACGAAGTGTGAATCAAGTCGGTTCTTTATTTTGGCGTGGTGAGTTCAAATGAATGACGCCACTCGGATCCTGTATGCGCGTTTTAGAGACGCAGCATACCTCGATGGCGCGAGATTCTAGAGTCCTAGCTAAGGAAGCCTGTTGTTCTATTTGGCACAGTGTTCGGACGTTAAAAGCTCCTACGTGTAGTTTAGAGCGTGGATTCAAGAGACCAGGAATAACGTTCCGCGTACTCGAATCGTTTGCCCTAGCGATGCGAGGTGATAAAGGGGCGTGAGAAGGATTAGTCGTGGAGTTAAGAGAGACATTAGGAGGTGTAGGAAGGATTTGAGTGTAACCAATTTCGTCTCGTCTGCTGTTACGGGTATGAGAGCTGATGTCACTTCCCCGCTGCCCACACCGTGGAAGGGTATTTCTTGAGGAACCTGAAAAGGAAGTTGAATTAGTGATGGCCTTAACGACTCGGGGGCGTGACCGCAGAGCTCAAGGGACAACTGCTTGAGGCCGGTCGCGCATGGCCTTATCGTGGGATGTTTTTAATGTGTTAGCTCCGTTCTTCAAAGGGCCTCATCACCAGAGACGGAAATCCGTGAGGTAAGGTGAGGTGTGACATTTTTAGGATCGACCTTTTCTAACCCCTTCCTTCCTTGGGAGAAGGCAGCATCACTGCAGATGCTGGTTGTCCGAGGGAAACACCTTACTGCTGTCACACCCCTCTACAGTCAGCAGTACGACTTCGCCCTCAGACCTTGAGTTGCTGCTTTGAGTTTTACCGCTCTCCAATCGACCTGCCTGGCATTGTAGGACCTACAGGAACATATGTTCCAGCCAATATAGCTCGGTTGGGTCATCACGACAGGCAAGCACGACCACCGCGTCAAGGTAGCAGCTACGGTCGGGGCGATGACTAGTGACAATGTGATCTATTCGAGTACATCGATGAGTAGACCGTGAGGTTCACCGTGCCAAACGATGTGTCTTCTTATGTTCACAGTTGGTATTTGCTAGAAATAGACGGTTATCTAAGCATAATTGCGACAGACGGTTACGATTGTCTATTTGGTGTGCCACAACACTGCAAGATTAATCTAAGTGCATTTCGGTTTGGTCTAGTTTACCTACTTGGGAATCAAAATTATCTGCTACTATCACTACATCAGAGAATTTCGCTTTTTGACGGAGGTTGGGTAGCTTCCTATAAAATTTATTATCATCCAAGCTGAAGCTCAGTGGGAGCGTATGCAGAGACAACGAAAAGATAATGGCATATGTCTCAATCTTCTGGAGATCTTACTGTCCCGTTTAGTCAGACAGTGCTCAAGCAGTCCAGAAGAGCTTATTTCTCTTTTGAACTTAATGCTGTACCTACACCAGAGGATCCACGGGAAGTAGCAGTGGAGTACATAGATACAAGAAGATTAAATCGCTCTGGTTTTTTATGTTGACAACGTGAGGTCAGATTAATGACCGTACTTGGATCTTGTATGTGCTTTACGGAGACGCACTATATATCGACGACGCGAGATTCTTCAGTTCTTGCTAAGGAAGCCCGTTGTCGTATTTGACACAATGTTCAAACATCAAAAGCTCCAACATGCAGTTTAGAACGTGGTTTCAGGAGACGAGGAATAACATTTCGTGAACTTGAATCATTATCACTGATGGCGTTTGGTGTTAAGGATATATATGGGTTAGTCGTGTAGATGGAAGAATTATTAAGAAGTGAGGGATGATATTTTATACCGACTCACAAAATCGAAGGTCTACTTACATATGGCCAATTTCCCGATTTCGTGAGTTTTTATTCCTTTTTAACTTTATCTGTGTGTTGTCAAAGCATAGCGGTTGCAATAGATGGACCATTACATAACGTTCTATAAATAAAATTGTTTCTATTCCCTTGCCTAAATTTACTGACTTCACAAATCGGTCTGTTTACTGTATCTGCCCACAACTGGTTTTGCGTAAAACACACTGAAATACCTTAACAGCACAGTTATACGAATTATTATTTATTTTATTTTAACACATAGACATTGGTACAAGGAGGCACCAAATACATATGCGCCACACAAATCTCATTCGATATGTGTGAGGGCTGTGATACTGCCCGGGTGCCCAAACCGAGGCAGATGGTTTTCTTAGGGGGCCACACCCCGAGCCTTTGACCTGAATGTCTGATACACAGGGCAGTGGAGCATCGTCAGGAAATGCAGTCCCATGGAAGCCGGTGACCAACAATTGGTTCATACGCCATTTGTTCCCGCAGGATACTGGAGCCCATGTGCACCATTCGGAACCCGGTTAAAGCGCCGGACATTCGCTTTCCGTCCTCTCATTTTCGTAAACGACACCCCCGCCACGAGAAGGCAGTGAGTAGGACTTCCCTGGCAGAGGCTATATACGCGTGGCCATATGAGAGCATTTCGAGAGGGAGAGCGGACTCTCCCCACTCTCGGCCGTACCAGGGCATTTGGGGGCGAATTGAACAGTATACTCATACTCACCCTAGCCAGGACTATTAATGATACACCTCTGCCGGATAAAATTCCCCAGATAAGTATGTTGTTCAAATCATTGAACTATTTTGGTACATACAGCCTATTTTATCCTCAGTAAATTGTTCTGCAGTTAAAGTTCATTACTGATAGATAAGAAGCGAATAACCAATACTTTAACGTTTTCTTTTAGAAGATCCCATAGATGCCTACTCAAAATCCAATCATGAGAAATTCAAGTAGTCTATGACATATCTAATTGCAAGGATATACTAAATACACCATTAACGCTGTTCAGCAAAATTTGAACTTATTTGGCCACTGAATTTGTTAGCAATAATAACTAGGCCCCCAAATACCCTGGTACAGCCTAGGGTGGAGAGAGTCCTCCCTCCCTTTATAAATGCTCTCACTTGTATATAGCCACTGCCAAGGAAGTCTTACTCATTGCCTTCTCGTGGCGGGGGTGTCGTTTACGAAAATGAGAGGACGGAAAGCGAATGTCCGGCGCTTTAACCGGGTTCCGAATGGTGCACATGGGCTCCAGTATCCTGCGGGAACAAATGGCGTATGAACCAATTGTTGGTCACCGGCTTCCATGGGACTGCATCTCCTGACGATGCTCCACTGCCCTGTGTATCAGACATTCAGGTCGAAGGCTCCGAGTGTGGCCCATTAAGAAAATGACCTGCTTCGGTTTGGGCACCCGGGCAGTATCACAGCCCTTACATATATCAAATGAGATTGTGTGGCGCATATGTATTTGGTGCCTCCTTGTACCAATATCTATGTGTTAAAATAAAATAAAATAGTTTGTCATTGAAAGATATACCAAAGTACAACTTTTTGCCGACTCTTTATTCGAACATTACCGAATGAGCTAGAGGTTATGTCGAATTTTTATCGGGAATGATTGCAATAAGTAGTCTTTGTCATGACTGTCCCCTCTCTCCATTTTTATCCAACTTCATCATAGTTGAAATTCTGTTACTGCCATCGATTATTTAGTAACTGGAATTAATTATCAGAATGAATTTCATCCATATCATTGGTTAACGTTTTCAATAACAACCTTAATATTCACGAATATAATATATGGATTAATACTGGTTAACCAACCTACAAAACGTATTCTAAAATATCAAATGGTAGCAACATGAAGTCTGGTGCTGGTTGGCGGCAAATTAGCAACATGTTATGGATTAAAAAATGCATCATGAAATGAGTTGTAAAACAAATGGAATTTCGACACGAATAGTAAGCGAAAGGAATACTGCGAGGAACATACCTCCGACAATCAAAATTCAACCAAACAAGTTGTGAACAGAAAGACCCGACCGTTGCTACTACCTTAACCAGGTGATCAGACTTACCTATCTGATATACTGGCTGAAACAATCGTTCCTCAAGGTCCTACCATACCAGGCAGGTCGGCTGAGGAGCAGTAAAACTCAAAGCAACAAACCCAAGGTCCGAGGGCGAAGTCATACTGCTGATTGTACAGAAGAATGATGGCAGTAAGATTTTTCACTCAGAAAACTAGAATCACGACAATGCTGCCTTCCCGCGAAAGAAGGGTGGAGTTATAAAAGGTCGACCCTAAAAATACACAATTCGTCTTATCCAACGGATTCCCGTCTCCGGCGGTAGGGTCTCAAAAATTACCCGCAAAAATGTCGTGTGACTAATCAACCCTGTATGACGAAATCTCAGCACGGATTCGAAAAGCTCGCTTGGCTTTTGCCAACCGACGTCACCTATGGCGAAGGTGAGATATCCGTCTATCAATTAAGGGACGAGTATACTGCGCGGCAGTTCGTCGTGTTCTACTTTACGGCTGCGAAACGTGACCATTAAGAGTAGAAGATACTCGTAAGTTACTAGTATTTGACCAGATACCTTAGAAATATTGCTCACATCTTCTGGGATCACCGGGTAAGTAATAGTGAGGTTAGACTAAGGGTATTAGGGAATGATAGTAAATCAGTTGATGAGGTTATGAATCTTCATCGACTGAAATGGTTGGGTCACGTGTTGCGTATACCTGAACACCGTTTACCACGACGTGCAATGCTATCCGGTATTGGAGATGGTTGGAAGAAAGTTAGGGGTTGCCAAACCAAAACGTGGCATCAGTGCTTGAAGTCACTAACCTATGATCTGAGCCATGTTGGTAGATGCAGACTACTTGGTCGGGGTCCGCGTGACTATCGTAACTAGTGGTTGGAGACTGTGTGACATGGCTCAGAGTCGATCACAATGGTGTAGGTGTATACTTTCTCTGTCTTCCCTTAAACTATGAGATTAAAATTACTGGCGAGACTCTAATTTAGCGACGAGCCAATCAGAAGCGTTTGAGCAATTTTAAGGTCACGGAGCCAAGTTCAACACGCGGTCGGTTCACAGCGGATTTTAGAGAGGAGGTGATTAATGAGAGGTTAAAACAGATGGGACGGCGAAACTCTAATTTAGGGACGAGCCAATGAGAGGCGTTTGAGCAATTTCAATTATTAGCCAATCAGAAGACAGTATAAAGTAAAAATATATTACAAGGAAGTAATGAATTACAGTGGATATTCTTCTTTTACATGATTTAAAAACTTCTTGAGGTTTGATAAAGGCTCAGAAGTTCTGTATTCATAATGCATATTGTATAGAAACTCGTCCATAGGGTTCGGGTTTGGGGTTAAAATTAGTGTTAAGGGTTAGGTTAAGGTTTAGGGCTAAGGTTAGGGTTTTGGGTTAGATTAAGGTTTAAGGTTAGGTTAAGGTTAGGGTTTGGGGTTAGGTTAGGGTTTAGGGCTAAGGTCAGGGTTTGGGGTTAAATTAGGGCTAGGTTAAGGTTAGGGTTAGATTAGGGTTTAGGGTGAGGTTGAGATTAGGGTTAGGTTAGGATTAGGGTGCTAACATGCGATCGGTTTAACATCGGATTTTAGAGAAGAGGTGTCTATTGACAGGCTACAACTCAAATCACTAACCCTATGGACGAGTTTCTATACAATATGCATCATGAATTCAGAGCCTATGAACCTTTATCAAACCTTAACAAGGTTTTAAATCATGTAAAAGAAGAATGTCCACTGTAATTCATTACTTACAATATATTCTCACTTTATACTGTCTTCTGATTGGCTAATAATTATCAAGGTCATTTAAGATTCGTTCAAAGGTCGTCGCTAAATTAGTCTCGCCAAATTACTTTTTATCTTTCTACCAACTAATTCTTTCTTCCTGTACTATATCTTTAAGTGCAGTCTTCCTTTTATATATTACCACCATTGAATTAACTACTTCTACCAATCCGGTGTTCATCTTGTTGTGCTAATGAAGTATGGTAATTTGGACCGATGCATAAATGTGTATGGTCCTACGTTGTAGAAGACTGACTGAACGGAATTAAGTGGGTCAAGATCAATGATTATAGTGGTAAAAACAGCTTAATAACCATGCTTACGCTCCCTACATCACATTAAATAAATAACCCACCAGCCAGGAGTTTAGTTGCATTTTAAACTCAAAGGTAAAAGAATTGTCTCTAATATGCAGTGGATTATATTACACACGAGGTCAAAAACGACTTTAACTTTTAAAACACTTACTTTCACTAAAGACGACATAGCATTCATGACTGTTGTACTTTTTTGCATACCACTGGTTAGTTTATTCATTGAAGCCATATGACGCAATTCCATAGCCACACAATCAATTTGCGATAATGCAAGATATAAACGAGCAACAGCTTTTTTAGATTCCGCATATTCTTTTGCGTAAACTTTGGCGGAAGGGACGTCGGATTCCTTAGCACATTTCCTAATAGCCATTTCTAGTTGTTTCTGCTGCCGCAGATGGGTCTGAATGTCTCTCTGAAGAGGATATTTCTGTCTCTTCAAGACAGAAGTCATTTCATTTAACTGAGCTTTTGGGTCCTTCTTACGCCCAAAAAGATTCATATCTTAAATGAAGTAAATTTACTGTTTACACTTAAAAACTAAAAGTGGGTCGAACGACTTTAGTCAGACCCCGTAATATCCAACAGGTTTTAAGCAAGCCGTCTAGGTATGTAGGAATGTTGAATGTGGCGCTCCGTCCTTGAAATATCAAATAACTTTTTGAGCGATTATGTTTGTTTCTGTCCTTTCGTTTTCCTTAAATATTGTGTAGTGACATGAACCGTCGCAGTCATTTATTTGCATCACCACACTCCAAAACAACCACTGAATTTAGGTCATCCGGTAGTGTTATTCTATCCGAAATACTGTGTACGGGTCTCCTAATTTTTATCCCGTCTGGAAAGAGTAGAAAAGATAGCTTTCCCACCGTAAGTAAGTCATTTACACAAATAAAAAAAGAAAAGGATCGAGGGATGTACCTTGAGGAGCTCCACATTTTATGGATTACCATGATAACAGAACCTCATTTAACCGTGCCCGTTGTCTCATATCATTGAAAAAGTCACTTATCCAGTCTATGATTGCATTATGGAGCTCAAAACTTTACTGTTTTAATTTAAGTCTTGAATCTATGAATATTACGTCCACATTAATATTTCTATCTTGTGCTGTAGCCCAGCCTTCTCTTGCAATGAGTAGATTCATTAAGCAAGATAAGTCATTTACTAAAGTCATGTTGTTCCTTGGACAAAAGATTTTTCCCCCATACATATGGTTTAGAATAGCCATCGGAATAATCTTTTCTATAAATTTGACAGCTACATTGATTAGACTAACGGGTTGATAGTTAGTGAATAAGTCTCTGCTCCTGGCCTTAAACACCGGACCGATGATTTCATATTTCTAGTCGATTGTTAGTCTGGTCCATCTCAGTGATACATTAAATAATATGGTCATAAGTTCAAGATTTACATCCAACAGGATTTCCATAATCCTGGGATGCAGTTTCTTCCACACTTACCACTGAGTCCGTCAACGAGCTTCCATTGTCACGACTAACTGGTGGTAATTTTATGTTGCTTGTAGAAAACAGTTTACTAAAATTTCCTGATAAAGATTCACCTTTCGGGGCACCAATTCTTGAACCAAAAGTGGTGAGATTCTGAGACTTCACTGAGTGTGACTCCTTATATAAGATAAGGGTCTATACAGGTTAATTTCACAAACCCCAATTTTTTTTAATACGATTGTAGATCTTTACTTACCAACTCTCTGCTAGCATTCCTATTCTTACGGTAATTGGACCTGTACTGTTCAGAACCTGTAGAGATAAACATATGTAGTGGCGTTGGATCGTAACCGCACGACCTTTGAAGCCGAGAATATAACTACTGAAACAAATTATATTCAACAATTGGCACAAAGAGGTTAACAATGAAAAACACAGAAACATTCAATTCAATCGGGTGGCATGGTTCAGCCTTGCAGGCATGGTCGTTCTGTATGACTTATTTTTACTCATATTAAATATAATGTTCCATCTCTGGCCTAAATGTGTTCTCCGTTATATATTGGTAATTGTTACGATACGATGAATCAGTGAACAAGATGATGTGATTTCTACGTAAGGTCTTATTGACTATGTAGTTACAACAGATATGCAGATAGAAAGACATGTATGAAGCGGATAGTTAGCGTCTGATAAGACAACGCCTTTAAAGCATATGCAAGAGTTTAGGTATCTACCACAACCATATCACTGATCTCCAATGATCCAAGACACCCATCCTGCTATTTACCTTTAACCTCCTCTACGATACAGATGTCTTTTCTCAAAAACAAGAGAAAGAATAATGGTGAACAGTGAGGAATCATAAGTAATATGCAAGAATTGACAAATCGTAAGGGTAAATATCGAGTATTTCCAAAATTATATAGGCTCTTTATTTAATAAGTCGAAAGAAAAACGTTCTTCGGTAACACTAAAACATGAGAAAACAAAGGGGGATAAAAGGAAAAACTTACACCAAGATAAATGAATTTTGATACTGTGTTAATCAAAGAATCTTCAATACCACAAACTTTATGGCATTCCAACAGGGTTTCTAAGTGATGTTTATATCTGAAACTAAAAGCGACAGTTTGAAATTAAGATGGATCAAATGTGAGACCATTGAGAACAGATCACCGTCCGACACGAGACAAGAACTCATTTATTTCAAGAGGATGGAAAGAAATAGATATCGGCATACATATGTTGGGATCGTCCGCATATTTAACAAAAGTGTTTTTCGAGGCAGATGGCAGATCATGCAGAAAGGAATAAGAAAGCAGAATTAAAAGCACAATCCTTGTGGCACACCATGAGACATCAGAGACACCAAACACTTCCCCCTAAACACAATACACTGTTTCCTTCGAGAAAGGTAGATACATAGCCAGTTGGTTATCCGGCTGTCATTGTTGAGGCCGACTAATTTATTAATCAGAAGTCGTCTCGACATAGAGTCAAAAACAAGTATATTTCATAAAACAGAATCGAACATACTTCTTACCCTTTTTCAAGCTGAACAATATATTGATGCAGAACAGCAGTGGCATCCAAGGTGCTTCTTCTGCATTTGCAAACAAACGGATCAATGTTCTCTTTTACTTCATGTTGAAGAGGGAGTAGCAATAATTTTTCCTTTGTTTTTGAAAAAGGTGAAGTTGTACGATCACGGTTTACTTCGTTATTAGTACTGTTCGCATAATAGAACTCATCTTAAAATTGTAGATTTGTCATGTTGACACTGCCTAATCTATAAGACTTTACGTGGAAATCACATCATCTTGTTCACTGATTCATCGTATCGTAACAATTACCAATATATAACGGAGGACACATTTAGGCCGGAGATAGAACATTATAGAACATTTTTCCTTATTCGCTACTCAACCATGTGGAACAAACTTCCAGTGAACCTCCGTTGCAGTGAAACTACAACCTGGTTTCTTCACAACACTTATGTACCCATAGGATGTTTGTGAATAATAATAATATTTAATATGAGTAAAAATAAGTCATACAGAACGACCATGCCTGCAAGGCTGAACCATGCCATCCGATGAATAGAAATAATTCTTCCCGCCATCTCCGATGTTGGTCTTCTCTCCGTGTTAAGTGTTGGATACCTGTTTTACCAGTTACTTCGTGTTCAGGTTTGAAGATTATGTGGCTAGGGCTCAATGCCACTGCAAAGTTTTTATTATGGGTTTGAACTTCAAATTCCTTTCACCAGATACGTTCTTAGTTATTGGGATTATCCTTATCTTTACACATGTTTTCGATACGAGGTTAGTTGAGAAGAACACACTGAAGATACTAGTGAATGGATGACACGGAATGTCAACACAATTCTTAAAAAGGAGGTTTTGAACTTCATGAAGTCCCAAACATTGGGACGATTTAGGTGACTGGAGGCATTTCTAGACCTCAGTTTTAGCACAACTATTCTTCAAACCTGTGTACCTATGAAGCATGACGTCAAACGCCTGGCGTTCAAAAAACTGTTCTAATTTACAAACATTCAACTGTTTATTATTTCTAACGCGTCTTTCACCTGTAGGTTCCTTAAATAGTTTCCACGTTCCTCGAGTGTTTTTTTACAAGACCTGAGTTTCTGAGTAAATTTTAAGTTCAGACGTCTAATCCATAGGTTTATAAGACCATTTAGCTTCTGAACTTCAGTGAAGTTTACCTCCTCGTATTTTCCTTCTTTTAATCTCCGTAATCGTCATGGTTGTGGTGACGTGAGTCGACTAAAACTCAGAAAAATGGTCGCAGTGGGACTAAAAATATCGAAACAGAATTTAAGATAACAAGTGATAATGTCAATGGTGTTGTGCAATGAGTCATCTGTAAATAATTCCCAGTTAGTTGTCCGAAACATGTTTTTCAGATTTCAGATATTTACTTCAGAGCTATTCCAGTATTGTACTTCCTTTGTCTAATGTGTGAGTGTACTCTTTCCAAGCTTGCCACGTATTTGACGGTAAACAAGAATTGTACAGTGGTCAGAACTAGACAATGGAGCATGTTTATGAATCACATATGTTCCGACACCAATAATGAAAACTAAGTCAAGTTGGGCATCCAAACGAGTAAAAATATCTGCTAAATTTCGGTGAACTAGTGATGAAAAAAGCCACATTTACATGTATCAATATCGTCAGACATAATTGAAATTGAAATTCAAGGAGTTCATTAGCGAGAACAGATTGTGTGGATGATATGCAGTCTATGGTTTTGCAGACGTTGGTAACATAAAGGAAATTCTATTTATTTAAGTGTTTTGGTCGGTATCTTAAGGTCAAGCGGTCGATAAATTTGTTTGAAAGCCTAAAACGTGCAAACGTCTGTTGACAACAGTTCAGTTTTACAAATATAGTTACAGCTCTGCTACACCTTTTCTCATTTCTTAATCGATTCTGACGATTTATACTATGATGTTGCAGTGATACTAAGTAACCGTCTTTTAAATCAGTTAAGAGATTTTTGAATTGTGATTACACCATAATTACAAAACATGTTTTGACTTAGTAGGAATTGGAAATAATCCACCTTGTCCACCTGGAAAAGATTGCTCAGGACAGAGTTGTATGGAGATTCTGAAGAGAGTGGATATTCCTAAGTGCTTGTAGTCGACATATTAATCCGGATATTTATGAATATCATACTGGCGTTGCCAGCAAGGTCCTGTGTATGGATTATTGGATATGTAGAATTATGGTCTACTATGATATTAGTACTGCTCTAATAATAGACCTAATCCTAAAATTGTAGATTTGTCATGTTGACACTGCCTAATCTATAAGATCTTTCGTGGAAGTCACATCATCGTCTATACCAACTCACTGAATCGTAACAACTACCAATACATGATGAAGAACAAGCTTAGGCTAGAGAAAGAACAATATATTTAAAATGGATAAAAGATATAAGGTAATATTCAGCAGGGGCCACGCCTGCATGGCCGAGCCATGTCATTCGATCAACTCCAATTCATTCAATTCCTTGT